ATTTTTGAGATTAATCCTTTGTCTGTTGCTTCATTTGCTATTATTTTCTCCCAATCTGAGGGCTGTCTTTTCACCTTGCTTATAGTTTCCTTTGTCGTGCAAAAGCTTTCAAGTTTCATTAGGTCCCATTTGTTTATTTTTGCTTTTATTTCCAATATTCTGGGAGGTGGAACATAGAGGATCCTGCTGTGATTCATGTCGGACAGTGTTTTGCCTATGTTCTCCTCTAGGAGTTTTATAGTTTCTGGTCTTACATTTAGATCTTTAATCCATTTTGAGTTATTTTTGTGTATGGTGTTAGAAAGTGTTCTAGTTTCATTCTTTTACAAGTGGTTGACCAGTTTTCCCAGCACCACTTGTTAAAGAGGTTGTCTTTTTTCCATTGTATATCCTTGCCTCCTTTGTTGAAGATAAGGTGTCCATAGGTTTGTGGATTTATCTCTGGGCTTTCTATTCTGTTCCATTGATCTATATTTCTGTCTTTGTGACAGTACCATACTGTCTTGATGACTGTGGCTTTGTAGTAGAGTCTGAAGTGAGGCAGGTTGATTCCTCCAGTTCCATTCTTCTTTCTCAAGATTACTTTGGCTATTCGAGGTTTTTTGTATTTCCATACAAATTGTGAAATTATTTGAGAACTAAACAGACATTTCTCCAAAGAAGACTTACAGATGGCTAACAAACACATGAAAAGATGCTCAACATCACTCATTATCAGAGAAATGCAAATCAAAACCACAATGAGCTACCATTACACGCCAGTCAGGATGGCTGCTATCCAAAAGTCTACAAGCAATAAATGCTGGAGAGGGTGTGGAGAAAAGGGAATCCTCTTACACTGTTGGTGGGAATGCAAACTAGTACAGCCACTATGGAGAACAGTGTGGAGATTTCTTAAAAAACTGGAAATAGAACTGCCATATGACACAGCAATCCCACTTCTGGGCATACACACTGAGGAAACCAGATCTGAAAGAGACACATGCATGCCAGTGTTCATCGCAGCACTGTTTATAATAGCCAGGACATGGAAGCAACCTAGATGCCCATCAGCAGACGAATGGATAAGGAAGCTGTGGTACATATACACCATGGAATATTACTCAGCCATTAAAAAGAATTCATTTGAATCAGTTCTAGTGAGATGGATGAAACTGGAGCCCATTATACAGAGTGAAGTAAGCCAGAAAGATAAAGAACATTACAGCATACTAACACATATATATGGAATTTAGAAAGATGGTAATGATAACCCTATATGCAAAACAGAAAAAGAGACCCAGATGTACAGAACAGACTTTTGGACTCTGTGGGAGAAGGCAAGGGTGGGATGTTTCGAGAGAACAGCATGTATATTATCTAGGGTGAAACAGATCACCAGCCCAGGTGGGATGCCTGAGACAAGTGCTCGGGCCTGGTGTACTGGGAAGACCCAGAGGAATCAGGTGGAGAGGGAGGTGGGATGGGGGATCAGGATGGGGAAATACAGGTAACTCCATGGCTGATTCATGTCAATGTATGACAAAACCCACTACAATATTAAAAAGTAATTAGCCTCCAACTAATAAAAATAAATGGAAAAAAAATTAAAACTTATAATACAAAAAAATAAAATAAAACACTCGTCTTTTCTTCACTTCCAAGTATCTAAGCAAAGGCTCCAGGGTGCGTTCTTTTTCCTGTGTTTTCTTTCAACTTCTCCACTGGTAGCTTAATCTTATTATTTAAATGTGCTTATACCTCTCTGCTCATAAAAAATAAAACAATCCCTCTTCCCTGTCCACTTCCTCATTCAGCTACTTCCATATTTCCCACCTCTCCTTCAGAATAAAATTTCATAAATAACATAACCATTCTGGCAGAGACTGATAATTGTCTCTCAATAGCCATTTGTTTTGTTTTCTGTAATATTAGATTTAGGCCACTGAAAACAAAGCATACAGCTTGCCAGTGGGACATACTGGAAATGGTGTATGCAGCTACTTGGTACTGTTTTTTAACTGAGGAGATAATCCTTTCTTCTCTGGCTTTACCATCCTTCCTGCAGGATGGAATGTGAACAAAATGACTGACATTTCAACCTGCATCTTTTACCATGATACTTTGGCAATGCAAGCGATAGATTTTGAAGCAATAGACAGAAGATTAAAATTCTATTACCTTGGGGGCCCCTAATACATGAAATCCACTATATCCAACTCTTAATTTATTACTCAGGCTACTCGGATCTGCCTTTCACACATGCTATCCGACTGACACTTAACCGAGGTCAGCAATGACATATCACTGTACTTTCTGCACTATTACTGATTCTTTCTCTACTCCAAAATTTCAAGATTTTGTATCATAAAGCACATAGGAAATACAATTTTATATCCCATTGGGGTAGAAGACAAAATTTCTCATGACTGGAAGTGACCAGCCTCTGACTACCCAAGGCCTCAGCTGCCTTCAAAAGATATAAAAGATCAGTGTAATGATAGATCACATAACCAATAGATAGCATAATATTGTACTATGCTACATATTTTGGGTAATTCAGTTCTAGACACTTCAGCCTCTTGTTTTTCTTTTTTTTTCTTTTTTCTTTTTAAAATACTTCCTCCCTCATCATTCCAGAAACGTGAGTATTTTCTAGAGTTCTCCTATAGTCTTTCATCTGGGGTTATTCCACCAACTTCTGTCACCTTGTGAGCACACATGCTAAGCTGCCTCAGTTGTGTCTGACTCTTTGCGACCTTATGGACTGTAGCCTGCCAGGCGCCTCTGTCCATGGGATTCTCCAGGCAAGAATCCTGGAGTGGGTTACCATGCCGTCCTCCCGGGGATGTTTCTGATCCAGCCATTGAACCCATATCTCCTGCATCGCAGGCTGATTCTTTACCTCTGAGCCACCGAGGAAGCCATCTATCACCTTACTTTAAAATCTATAGGCTGATGATGTCAAAGTCTATAAACACATCTCATTTCTTTTTCCTGAACACCATTCAGCAGAAATCTTGCCTCTTATGGCTAATTATCCATATGAAGTCTTCCAGGCACTCAAATTAAATCTATTGTCTTCACCCCAAGTATTCTTCTTCTAAGTTCAGTGAGTGCCACGATTATGAGCTACTTGCCCAAGCTAGAGCCCTCAAAAGTCATCCTGTGACTTTCCCTTTTCCTGTCCTTTCTGTCTCATATCTAATATATCAAAAGAAATCTGCTCATGCTCTTGAATCAGGCCAGACTTACTCAGGACATAGTAGATTAAGACTAATGGTTAAATCAGTCATCATGAATTATTACAAAGCACTTAAGAACATTTCAAATCTGTAAAGTGCTACAAAATACTGACAGTAATGTAGGAAAAATAAGTGGTCCAGCAGAGACACAAGAAGATATGGAATCAAAAGTCACAAGTTAAAGCACTGGCTCAAGTGTGCACTAGGGTTGGGTGACCCAAGGAAATAGTTTGTATCTGAGACCCTGTAAGCACTCTGGTTGTTCATGCAATCAACATCTAGTTACTGGATTTCTATGTGTCAGAAAATGTGTAAATTGGTTGGTAATACAAAGCTTAAAGGATAAGTAAGACATTTCCTTTCCCTCAAAAAAAAAGCAAACAAGCAAAACAATAATTGTTTCATAGCATGTATTCTCAGTGAAGACAACATCACTTCCAAAGGTGCAGTTTGTTTGTTGAAGTGGGCAAAAAACAAAACAAAACAAAACAACATACTATTTTCATGTATAAAGCACAGATAGACATGCTGTTCTTAGACATAGTAGATGGGTGGATGAGCTGAATGCCAGTTCTCAGCTAAGCACATTATTATTCATTATCCCATTTGTCCTTCAGGTCAAACCCGTGACATAGGGATTATTATTTTATTTTCACAAATACGAAAACAGCCTTGAAGAATTACATAGTACAACAAATCTACTGGCTAACACTAGAATATAAATTCCATAAATGCAGAGGTCTTGTCTGAATAGGTCATCGTTTTATTCCCAGTGCCTGGAACTCAGAAGGCAACCTAATAAAATCTATTGAATGGATAAACTATTGTGAATTAAAAATAAGTGGAGAAGTTCAGAGGTCCCTGAGATGTTAGATTCCAAATCTTCTTTTCATAATCTTTATTTTTTAGAGGTGTCTAATATAGAGCTTGGGGCTTCCCTGGTGGCTCAAGGGTAAAGAATCCGTCTGCCAGTGCAGATGTGGGTTTGATCCTGGGTTGGGAAGATACCCTGGAATAGGAAATGGCAACCCACTCCAGTATTCTTGTCCATGGAAAAGCCCATGGATAAAGGAGCCTGGAGGGCTCCAGACCATGGAGTTGCAAAAGAGTAGGTCATGACTGAGCAACTAAACAAATATGCAACATATCTATATTACAATTATGTATCAATGTAAGAGCATAACAATAATTGAGACATACCTGCACTATGAGATCAAGCATCATTTGAGTTTCAGATTAAAGCTTTTGAAGACTCTGTGTTTCTGGATCACAACTAACTATAACAACATTTTATAGAAACATTTTCATTCATTTGTAGCTTATCCATTTAGTCACTTAGAATTGCCACAAATTTATTTTATCCCAGGCTTCTAAATTGAGATGCAGTTTGTGTGTATGTGTGTAAAACAGGCTTTGGAGCCAGACAGAACTGGATATAAACGTCAGTCAGGCTATTAACAAGCTAATTAGCAAGTTATTTAGTTTCCTTATCTCTAAAATGGAAGAGTTTTCTGTGAAAATTAAAATTAAGGTAATTCTTGTAATGGGTTCAACATGGTGCCTAGAGACCTGAGCAAATATTTAAATTTTTCAATTCTCTCTTTTTAATAACATGTTCATAATTGTCTCTAGGAGGTTAGATGTGTCACTAGTCTCTCCTAACTGACCTGTGAAGCAAAAAGGTGATTCTTAAATTACTAAGTTAGAGCTGACTCTGTTCCAACTAAGGAAAAGAAATCACAAGCCCACATCATACAATACTTGTAAAGAGCATACCATAGCCTACTGTAGAAAGACCCAAGTGTTTCATTCTATTTTTCACAAGTTCAGCAAGCTCTTGTCTTTCTGACCTCCTGTAGAGGTTCAGGCGCTGCTGGGTCATTTTCTCCGCGGTTCTACTGGAATGTTTGGGGCCTTTCCTGCTCAGCCTGCGGGCCCATTGCATGCTCTTCCGCCTCAGCAGCGGGTGGTCCGACTGGTCGCTCGATGTGGAGTTGCGGTGGTTACTTCGGTGGTGACCTTGCTCTTTAGCATCTTTGGTGTCTTCCCACTCTTCTACACTGATGGATATCTGAGACTTTAAAAGAAGTGCATATGGTAATTAGATATCTTAAGAATCAGGTAGCCTAGAGTTCTATTCATATTTTTTTGTGTGCTAAATCTTGACATAATTATATATCTCATGAGAGTTTTTACAGAAAGAACAAGATCATCATTATTGATACTAATTTTATATTACTAGATCATCATTATTGACACTAATTTTATGTTACTAAAAGTAATAGAAAATATGTTTTTCGAACTTACAGTGAACCAGATAAAATATCCTTGCATACTCCAATATAAGTTTCTTTATAAAAAGAAGTTAACATTTTATGTATCAGAGTTAACAAACAACTGGCATAGAGTTATTTGAAACCAAAACAAAAAGAGCTAGATATTTTACAGTGTTATTCAAATGAAGTCAAAGTAATGGACTTTCCTCAATTTACTCCTAGTACTCCACATGAAATTTTTTAAAAAATTATGAAAGTTCGCTTATTTTTGGAGTTAATAATATTGTTAAGGTTTTAAATTATTGCTGTTTCTAAAGAGGGCATTGGCATGAACTTTATAACATGTGAATTTTTTATTTGTTCATATGATCCCGAGGAAAACAAAAAGCATATTTTATTTAATTTATGCATTAGTTATTTACCACATAAATAATTTTGACAAAATATTACAATACACTTCAGGAAGTGTTTTCAGTGGTCTAAGTGAAAGTATGCTGTAAATATTAATATTTCACAAATATATTCTAGAATCACAAAGAAAACTTACATTAGGCTACTCTTCATAGGAAGGAAAAACAATGAAAAAATTCCTAAAGTCCATTTTGATCTACTCTTTTACTACTAAATCTGATTTTAAAATGAGAAGCTTTCCTTTGATTATAGGCGCTTACTGAAATGGAGCAAGACCTTAGTGGTGTTTGCCCCCTTACCATGACCTCTGCCTGCTTTTTGTCTGTGAAAACTTTAGTCAGTAAGTTTAATCAGAGAAGTGAGAAATGCAGAAACAAAGGAAAACAGTCAAAGGAGACTAAATAATAGCAATGTAGTCATTATGCACAGTCAAGCGTCTTTAGTTCTTTTTCAAAGGTTGCACAATATTCTGAGCCATATCATTGAGCTGTTTTATATATACTAAAACACCAGGTAGAGACATTACTACATGATGACCAGACTGTAACCAGGACATGAGCTCTCACAATTCCAAGAACTGGCCTCAGAGAAATGGGAACAAATAGCCACTGGAACTGAAGATTAACTGTACCTAAAACAATCAAGATGATGCTGATCAACTTGAAGATGACTATCAGAGCTGACTGTGCTGTTTCTGCATGTAGCCTCTCCTTCTGTGTATAAAAGCTCTATCCCCACTGGTTGCCAGTGTAAGGGGGAGAGGGTGAGTTGGCCTTTGGACAGACATCCAGCACCCTCCTCTCCCCAGTTGCTGGCATTTGAAATAAAGCAAACTTTCCTTTTCACCAATCTGAGCTGTTTATTTGCTTATGAATGGTGAGTGCTGGACCCTACCACATTCTTTCAGTAACATTAATATAAACAAAAGTTTCCTGTTTCAGAATTGCTGCTTTTCATACTAGGAAGTCATGTGAAATGAACCATGATTCAAACCAAAAAGACTTATTTTCTAAATCATGCACATGCAAAGGGAAACTTCCTGCATTTTATTGTGCATAAGAGCCGTGTTCACAAACCCGCTGTGTTTGCTGTGTGTGGATGGAAGTTTGAGCTACAACATGCATGTGTTGCTGGCTTCCAAAGTAATAGAATTTGAATTACCAATTTAAGTAAGGTCAGATGGCAGATCCAATAAGATCCTTAATGGATGAGGAAGCTGTGGTACATATACACCATGGAATATTACTCAGCCATTAAAAAGAATTCATTTAAATCAGTTCTAATGAGATGGATGAAACTGGAGCCCATTATACAGAGTGAAGTAAGCCAGAAAGATAAAGACCATTACAGTATACTAACACACATATATGGAATTTAGAAAGATGGTAACGATAACCCTATATGCAAAACAGAAAAAGAGACTCATATGTATAGAACGGACTTGTGGACTCTGTGGGAGAAGGCGAGGGTGGGATGTTTCAAGAGAATAGCATCGAAACATGTATATCTAGGGTGAAACAGATCACCAGCCCAGGTTGGATGCATGAGACAAGTTCTCGGGCCTGGTGCACTGGGAAGACCCAGAGGGATGGGGTGGAGAGGGAGGTGGGAGGGGGGACCGGGATGGGGAATACATGTAAATCCATGGCTAATTCATTTCAATGTATGACAAAAACCACTGCAATGTTGTAAAGTAATTAGCCTCCAACTAATAAAAATAAATGGGAAAAAAAAAATAAAGTGAATATAAATGATGGCGGCTCAGTCAATGCCTTACACACAATTCCTCATGGCAAGCTATGAAATCGACTTGGTCTCACACTTAAATTCAATTAAAAATGCAAATATTCATTCACATTTGTTTCAAAACAGTACTGTAGAGAGTGGTGTGAAAATGATTTATTAAACCTTCATTGCTGCATAATTAGAGACTATTTCTCTCTTTTTTAGATTTTTTTTTAAGTAAAGACTATAATTGATTTACAGTGTGTTAGTTTCAGGTGCACAGCACAATGGTTCAGTTATATAAATGTATTTTATATAATATATATAATTCCATCTACAAAAGAAATGGTCTCTTATGAAGCTATGAAGGTTAAACAAATTATACATATATTACTTATATATAATTTTGCCGAGTCTTTCCCCTTATAGCTATTTTAGGATACTGAATAAAGTTCTCTATGCTATACAGAAGGCCATTGTTGGTTATCTATTTTATATATACTAGCATGTATACATTTAATCGCATTGGAGTAAGATAATACTTCATTCAAAATAGAAACTTCTTTTTCGCTGTAGAATTTAGGTTGGAAGTATTAAAAATTCTAATACCGTGGTTTTGCAACAATGGATGCCTTTATAAGTCTTAACTTACTCTAGTCTTACCTGGTTGACGATATACTGAAAATCCTCTCCTCTGAAAGTAAAATATATAAAACTTCAAGTAATATCTACCATCAGTAAAGAATATCAATCTATGTTCAGTAGTTTCAGTTTATGTGTACTTTATAGCAAAATCAAAAGTATATTAGTTCATTCATATTTAGATACTTGGCTTGCACAGATTTGTGAATCAGAATCTAAAATTTATTTGAAGTACTCTTTCTAGTCATAACTCCGTGTAATAGCTTTATTTCCCATAAATATGTGGAAAGAGTAATTTTGTCAGATCAAATACTCAAGATATTATGCTCATATAATGTCATTGACAAGTCAAGTCACAGAACCAGAAGTTAATAAATATTTTAGGGAAGAAGTTGAAAATTAGCTTATTTTCCAAGTAGAGGATAAAACACTTTTTATCTTTGTGAATGCTTTTCTTAGTTGTGTGTACCAGGAATTATATCAAGCATATATGAGCTAAATAATACTGGCTCTCCTATTCATCACTGTTTTGAACTCCCCCAAAGGCAAGAATATCATGATTTACATAAAAACCCATAGGACGCACAAGGCATTTTTATCATTATTTCAATAAAAGTAACATCTCCTTTTATATTTCAGTTTAACTAAAGAAAAAGGAAATCAGAAGGATTTGGGGATTAAGTTTAAGAAATCTAAACTCACAACACAGAGATAGTTATTTGTATGCTTGGAATTTGCATTCCTTTCTTTCCTCCTTCCAATAGGATATAATAAAAAGTATACCAAATTTACATGTATTAAGATACACAAATTTGAGTGATGTTGTGGATATTTTCTAGCTCTGGGCCTACAATAAAACTGTGCAATTGCTGTGTATAATAAGAATAATGATACTCACATTCTACCTTATAGAAATACTGTGCAAATTCATACTTAATATATAAAGAAAACATGTCACCTGTAAACTCCTACACATAATAATAATAATAATATATCCTAGTAGGAATGATGATCCACAATATCAATGATTGGTAATAAATGTGAAATTATTCTATTACTGGGTACTAAATGTGTGTGGGGAGTGGGGTGTGCAAGCACATGTGCTTGTGCATTTTAAAAGATCCATTTATACTTTGCCAAGGCCATTTCATCATCTGGTTGTAGCTCTGTTGTGCTCCTAACGTGACATCATGACCAACAGGAGATATTAAGTGGAGTGGTGCTAGGATACGGCATCATGATTTCATTGTAGGGCCTTTTCCTGAACTTAGAGTAATAGAGTGCTTAAAAACAAGTATTCTGGCATCAGAGAGAGCTGAGTTTAAATACACTTACTTGTTCTGTATTCCTGGTTATGTTACTTAAATTCTTTAAGACTGTCCCCAGTGCCCTATCTGAAAAATGATAATTCTATTCTTACTTTGCTCACAGTCTTTCTCCAAGCAAATCTAGGGGATGACACATTAAAAAGTAAATAACAGAGTGCCTGGTCTCAGTAAATTCTCAATCAATATTAGTTAATATTCTGATTCATAATCTTATACAAAAATGGGGAAAATAAAAATAAATAATTATGAGGAGCTGTATAAAAGCAAAACACAAGTATGAAAAAGACAGGAATGACTCATATTTTGGTATAATTTTCTCTGTCAGTGACTATACTTCATAAAAAATCAAGGAAATATAAACAAATTCTTGGAAAAAAAATTTCTTTGGTTAAAGTTTTGTGGAATACGAAAAACAGAATAAGTATTTACATGAAAGAAATTTACTGTTTTCCTTCCATGAATTATTTCTCACTGGTTCTATGTATAATGGGAGAACTCTGGCTTGACTTATTAGTACTTTAATAGTCAGAAGTCTCACATAACTATTAATTAAAAAAAATAAGATTTAAACTAATATTTGTAAGAATAAAAATATGTTTATATGTTGTCATGGTCTGAATGCAGAGTTCCAAAGGATAGCAAGGAGAGACAAGACAGCCTTCTTCAGTGATCAGCGCAAAGAAATAGAGGGAAAA